CGTCAAATCTTCTGAGTTGCTTCCCAAAAATATTATCAGAAGTGTTTCAACACAAACATGAAGAAGCTGAAGTGGGTATTGGTAATTCCTTCCACGAGCTTGAAAATGAAGTTATCGACTCGATGAATGAAGTTCATCCTATTAGGCCTGTCGGTCCATTAGTTCCATCTTCATTACTAGGGGAAGATCAAGAGCTGGATATAAGTGTTGATCTGTGGAAATCCGAAGATGCTTGTATTGATTGGCTCAACCAGAGAGATTGTTCTTCTGTTATATATATTTCATTTGGAAGCCTACTTGATCTATCGGGAAAGGACATGGAGTCCATTGCTACTGCTTTGAAGAACAGTAAACGACCATTTCTATGGGTGGTGAGGTCACCGGACTCCTCCGAGAAAAAGGTGGTGATATTATAATCTCTGTTTATATGTAAATGGAGTCAAAAGAGCAATTCTGCTTACACCTAATTATCACCGATGCTATTAGACCTAATTTATTGATTTCATTGTGGTATTTGGATTAAAATTTAAATTTTGGTATTGGTTTAATGACACATATAAAGTCACTATCATTATGTCAGTAAATGGTCAGATTTTTAAATTCAAATAATATTATTTATTTATTAATCTTCTAAAATAATTATTCATAACTATTAGATTAACAGTAATTTTAGTATTATTGAGACTCTTACTAATCTAATAGTTATGATAGATTAGATTAATAAATTATATAACAAATTAAATTCAAATTGTATTATGGATTCTAAAATTTTAACTTAAATTGTCAACAATTTATTTAAATATTAACCGAGTAATACTAGTTCACCATAATTTATTGACTTAATTAATCACTGTCATTAGATTAATAGCAGATCTCAATTTTGATGGAGAATCCAATTGTGATGAATTCAGTCAATAAATTACATTTACAAATTAAGTTTAATTACTATTATTAAATATTCATACACCCTCATATTTTCTTGCCCATTCCATTTGGAATTTCTATTTTGTACTCTAACATGTGATTTTTCTTTCTCTGTTGAATGAAGCACTTTACGCACATCTCGCTCCACGGTCATATCAAAGACACCTGAGCTACTCCCGGGGTTGTCGTTAACATTTGCTAGCTATCTATTTTGTATACTTTTTGGTGATCTAGCCACTGGCTAGCTTTTTTTTTTTTCTCAAAGCTAGCCCTTAGGATCTTTTGGATTTTCTTAGAAACTATCCCATATGATCTCTGATGCTGTGATATCACGGTTGGAATCTCGTTACTACTAATACTATTTGCACATATATTGTTGATTTAAATCATCGCAATCATAAAATTAGTAACTGGTCCCCAAATATATTTTTTTGATATCTATGAATAAACCCTAATTTGTTCTCTTGCTCAATCGATTTAATATATTTTTTGTTTGCACTCTAACATATGGGTTTCCAATAGATGATCCACAGCTTCCATTTGGGTTTTCAGAAGAGACCAAAGATCAAGGACTTATGGTGCAGTGGAGTCCTCAAACAAAGGTTTTAGCACATCCATCTGTTGGGTGTTTTTTGAGTCACTGTGGGTGGAATTCTCTCTTGGAGGCGATCACCACCGGTGTCCCTGTACTTGCTTATCCGAAGTGGACCGACCAGCCGACGAATGCGAAGCTTATAGTTGATGTTTTAAGGGTCGGTGTGAGGCTCAGACCAGACAAAGAAGGGGTGGCCAGTAGTGAAGAAGTGGAAAAATGTATAGAAGAAATTATGAGCGGGCCATATTCCGAGGAATATAAGAAAAATGCGGCGGAGTTGAAGAAGGCCGCCAGAGAGACGGTGGCGGACGGTGGCTCATCAGGCCAGAATATCCAGTGGTTCGTGGATGAGCTCATTGGTAATTCTTGTCCATGACCCAAAAGCTGGAGGATGTTCCTGAAGTATGATAGTCAACGTGGGACAAAATTAAGGAAGGGATGTAAAATATGTATAGTTGTGCAACAATAATGTTAAGGAAAAGAAAAGATATTTGCTACAAATTTGATCCCTTGGTTTTTTTTTTTTGGGTTTCTATTTATTTTTCTATTTGATATTTGTTATTATTTGTCCATCTTCCTTGTACTCTGATACTAAATTGAACTATTTCTAGAGAGGGTGTCAGTTATATACACTTCAATACCCTCCTTCACATATTGCAAGACTTTTGACCAAGTATGTGAATTTTTTTTTCTTCTAAATATTAGGGTGGCGGCAATAATCACACAATATCTCCTACTTTGATACCATGACAAAATCTAGATGTGAAAAACAACGAGAGAATACAAGAGAAAAACACAAGGGCTTAAGGTAGTCCGGTCCTAAGACCGATATCCATGGCACACAAAATCCAAAGGACTACTTCTTTATTTAATTTTTGTTAACAACACACATGAAAAGCATCCACAAACATGGGATGACAACTAACAAGTACAATTATATCCCTTAATTAATAAGATTGAGATAAATCAATTTATGAAATCGGATCCACGATCTTACTTAACTGATTGTCTAGTCAATCAAAAGGTATCTCATAAATCATGGAATATATTTCTATCTTCAATAGGTTCGGTTCTTTAATTTTAAGAATTCAATGTTAAATTTACAAAAAGAAAATCCAGGGAATGAATTAAAACTTTTTCCAAAGTTAAAGAACATTTATAATTTTACCTAACAAGAGAGACATTGCACCTAACATTGGAGAGTTGGCCTCTTGCATGATTGGCCACAAACTATGTATGTGTTTCTGCAATATGATTGGTGTCTTCTCGTATAGTTGTTACTTGTAAGCATAGATGACTCCATATGTTTGGTAAATGTTGACCTTAGCTTCAAACTGATAAAAACTGGATATGATGACAAAACCACAAAATAATGTTTTGCAGCCTTTATTGAACTGTAAACAACGCAAGACCTACCATTCTTTACAATCTATAAGTTGACGAGGTTTATACATCACCACTCCGATTATGATTTACACTTTGACCAATAGTCTCAAAAAATACTATCATACAGAAAAATAAAATTTTAACATCGTTTTAAAAAAAAAGAAAGTAAAAGTACCTTTAAAAATAATAAGTTCTACTAAAAAAAGTGATAAATTTTACCTAAAAGTGGTAAGTGAAATCTAAAATAAGTGAACCCAAAAGTTACTAAGCATCAACCAAAAACTGGTACAAATATCCAAAAACATAATTTTTTGGGGGTACTGTAGTTGAACCTATTTGTTTGTATTGGTCAGATTGTTCGCTTTTTGTTAAATGAAAGATGAACCCTACAACAAATAACATGGTTGTTTTGTATTGTATTGACCTCCCCCCCCCCCCCCCCCCCACCCCCACCCCCACCCACACCCAACGCGCACACACAGTGTAGCGATCCAACTAAAAACTTTGATTCTACTTGGAACAACTATAACCATGGTACTTGTGGTGAAATAGGCACGAGTATAAACGTCTAAGCCTCATACAACAAACATATGATGAGCCCAAACAAGAGATCTAAAAACACCTTTACTAATCATGGCATAAATAATGTTGAGATATCCGAAAACTAATTTTCTCCAAAAAATCAAAATAATATGAGTTATGATACCGGATTCAGACAAAAAAGGGAATATACAGTATTGAATGACTAAATAACCGAAAAAGATGCTGGTATAATATGAGATTTCCCCCTCTGGCCAGATCAAACAAGGTTGTATTAAGATTGCCCAACGATCCTAAAGAACTAGGTCCTCTCATTTAATTCTCAATTTATATTTCAATAACATTGCTTGTGCAAACTCAATTGGAAGACTCTCCAATTATTTAAAAATTGGAGATCAGGGAAATCTCCTCCCTATTTTGTTTGTAATGATTTTTTCACAAAAAACTATAAATCAACCCATTTTAGAAATTAAAATAATAGTCTCAAACCAATTTATAATAGGGTAGATTTCATCTGCACCCCTTTGTAGACGGGTTTAACTTCAACGACAACACTTCTTGATTCTGAAATTTTTTTATACTCCCTTCTAATTTATATATTTAATTCAAATACACCATTTATCGCGCCGAATGACAACTAAAGAAAGAGTGATGTCATTTTCATTTTCTTCAAAAGTATCAATTCTACCCTCTTCTTCCTTACAACCACTGCACCCCATATCTGCCAACATTTACACATATCACTATACCACCACACCACTGTTTGCTACACGCTCCCCTTTCTACCTTATTTACACACACCACTGTACCAACATGTTAATATTCAATTTTATATAATTAATATTTAATTTTATCAAATTAAAACCAAATTAATATTTAATTTTATCAAATTAGTACTAAATTATCCTTAAATTTTATCAAATTAATAGTCACATCCATTAAATTAGTATTTAATTCATCCAATTAACATTTAAATTTAATTAAACTAATATAAAATTAAAATTTAATTTCATAAAATTTAACACCAAATTAAAATTCAATTTCATCAAAATCACATTAAACTTCATCAAATAACTAACAACTTAATATTCAATTTAATCAAATTAACTATCAATTTTATTATTTTAACATTCAGTTTTATTAAATCAACATTAAATTCTGTCAAATTAATACCAAATTCTATCAAATTAACGTAAAATTGATCTTGAATTTAATAAAACCACCATTTTATTTCAACAGAATAATATTCAATGTGATCAAATCAATATTCAATTTTATCAAATTAATACCGAATTAATAAGAAATTTCATCAAATTAACATTTAATTATTTCATATTTACATTTAATTGCATCAACTTAACATCCAATTGATCAAATTAACATCATTTGTTTAATTGAATCACAAATTAACATTTTACTTCATCCATTCAATTTTATAAAATAACATTAAATTTCATAAATTGAACAATTAATTTTACTAAATCAATATCATATCTTCAGTTTAACATCAAATTAAATTTTAATTGTATCAAATTAACATTCAGTTTTATGAATTTAATATTTTATTTTATGAAATTAGTATTATTTGTTAAATTAACACCAAATTTATATTCAATTTCATGAAATTAACAAAAATATTATGTTTAACCCAATTAACATTTAATTTAATCAAATGAATGCAAAAGGGACGTTGGTGTATGTAAAGAAACTTCAATATACAAAATAGTGTAGAGCTCAGGGGTAAAGTGGTAAAATAAGCTTTTTCGTTACGTCTGCTATTAGACAAACTCTAACAAGGGGTGTCAGTGAAATTTTACAATCGAGAAGGATTGTCGTTGAAGTTACACCTATTTACAAAGGGTGTGGATAAAATTTATCCTTTATAATAACTTTCAAACCAGTTATGAATTGAATTAAGGTGGACTATAAATAACAAAAAATAAACCAGTATATAAAAAACTTAATAAACTCTAAGCTATACAGCTCTAGAGGAAGTACTAAAAAACATAATCTCTCATATTCATAATTTGGAGGAGGAAAATAGATGGCATCTGAAGTTCTCTTTGAGCGGAAATGCTTCTCTACTTCTGGAGTAACATTGAAAGATGCCCCGAGAACTTGAGGAGATAAAAGCTTTCCAAGCAGATCCAGCTAAATGGGTGAATATAGGACTGTCATCCCCAATAACAACAACATGATTAGAAACAAAACTAAACAGAAACATCAATTTGTTTGGACAGATTGAGAGGTTAACTTATGCTCAACTAGAGTTTTGGAAGTACCAACACAAGCTCAACCGGTACCCGAATCCAACTGAGGACTACACATATTTAAAATTTTAACTTAAGTTACATAACTCATATCGAAATCGCACTTAGTTTGCAATTTGTTGATATCGGGACTATTTTATTGAGACTGTATCACTTGACATATCATTATGTCTATAAATTAAGTCAATTTTTTAAAATACTAATAGTATTACTTTTTTCTTCTTCCTCAAAGTTCTATCCAAATCTGCACACAACTATCATAACCCTCTCCAAATCTTCCATTAGAATAGTTTTATTCACATAGATAATACCATATTTAATTTATACAGAAATGACTTTTCTCACAACCAAGTGGTAACTCTATCAAAGAGTTGTAAGCATTCTTTTGTCTTTGCTATTGTGGTTGCACTGATTACGAAGTTCCATCCTCGGTAACATGATGATATTTAATATGTGTTATTTCAGACATATTTCCGGAACAAATACAGCAATCTAGCTAGACAGGAGATATATTGCCAATCTCATCTACTTTTTTTGTGAATAAACTTGAAACTGGCCTGGTGGGTTTATTATTATTTTTTTTTTCAAACTTTTTGGGTCAACTTTAATCCTGACTTATTCTATTCTGCAATGTTTACTTAATATTGGAGGAAATTTTGAAAGTAAGGCATGCTCTATTGCTCATTGATTTCCAAATCTCTGACTCCATGTTTTCTCTTCAGCTACTCCTTTCAATGTTGAAAATCAATTTTACTTTCAAAAGCAAAAATAAAACTTCCAAATTGCTGCGAAAATCGAAACCTTGATGTTATTTTTCTTTTGTGACTAATCTTTGATCCAATGGTACTTCTTACTTGGTGAAAGTTTTGTCTTCTTTAGGTTAAGAGTTCAAGCCCCCTTCAACCCTCCTCCCTCTCCCTCCCAAAATAAAAAAGCTTTTGTGACTGATAAATCATTACCTTATCTAAAACTAAAGAAGGTAACATAAGTATTTATATATTTCAATATGTTTCTTGATCACCTATGGTCTATATTATTTGGGTATTGACAAGATGTAAATCTAAAAGCTTAAATTGTTACAAATATTGCACCACAAGCATATTTGTACTTCAACAAGCTAATAGCCAACTATGAGTTCATGGTTGGGGAAAAAAATAATAAAAACTGTAGTTTTATTGAT